AGAAGGGTTGGGATGTCCGGCTATGGTGGATGGATGTAGGTGATGGAGGTTGAAGAAGGGTCGGGGTGTCCGGCTATGGTGGATGGGTGTAGGTGGTGGAGGTTGAAGAAGGGTCCGGGCGTCCGGCTACGGTGGACGGGTGTAGGTGATGGCTCGCTTGTCCCGCGGTCCGCGACCGATCCTATTCTACCGCCTAACTCCCTACCCCTTATGTCTCCCTCGTAGGTCGTTGGTTTTGGCCGCACATGCCCCCCCCCGTCTGCCATAGTGGAGGCAGCCTTTTCAGAACCGTATAATTTCCAAGAGCGGACGCCACAAGAAGTGACCCGTCGATACTTACTCAAGCACTTAGAGCAGCAGAATGGTAGTGTGCATGACACCCTACCCATGCACGTGGAACAGCAAACTGACAATGTGAACGACACCATACCCGTGCATATAGAACAGCAAACTGACAATGTGAACCGCACCCTACCCGTGCACATAGAAAAACAAACAGACAATGTGAACAGCACCCTACCCCTGCACCTAGTACAGCAAACTGACAATGTGAACAGCACCCTATCCCTGCACCTAGTACAGCAAACAGGAAATGCGAACAACACCCTACCCATGCACCTAGAACAACAAACTGACAATGTGAACAGCACCCTACCCGTGCACATAGAACAACAAACTGACAATGTGAACAACATCCTCCCCATGCTCCTAGTACAACAAACAGACAATGTGAATAGCACCCTACACCTGCACCTAGTACATCAAACTGACAATGTGAACAACACCCTACCCCTGCACCTAGTACAGCAAATAGAAAATGTGATCAGCACCCTACCCTAGGGGATTGCTCCCCGAGGTACCCTGGGATGAAGCGCCCTACACACACTCGTCAGGGACAGCATAAGGACAAGATTTGAAGTATCCTATGAAGAGGACACATCACCGGGGCATCCCGAAGTGAAGCGTCACTCTTACAGTCGTCAAGGTTGGTGAAAACTCAAGATGGGCAGTGCCTAATCTACCGGAAAGTTCACGGAAGTCACCCAAGGTAAATCGCAACCCATACATTCATCAAAATCAGTGAAAACTCAAAATTTGAAAGCATCTAATCAAGGGGTAACATCACGGAAGTTTCACAAGGTGAATCGCAACAGGTACAGGCACCCAGAACAGTGAAAACTCAGGATTGAAAGCACCGACCCAAGGGGACACATCACGGAAGTATCACCAAGTGAATCACAACATGTACAAGCCCCTAGATCAGTGAAAATTTAAGATTGGTAGCATCTACTCCAGGGGAAACATCACGGAAGTATCACAAAGTGAATCGCAACATGTACATGCACCTACATCAGTGAAA